ATCTGACTAATAACTCACATGCATCTTGTACCGGTCACTTACGTTAGCACATTGCTGTAGGATTAAGTATAAAGGCAGAGGCTTTAGCGTTGGAGTGGAAAGTATTAGCATTGAATCGAAGATAGTGAACAACAGCGGAAACATGTCTATTAGAGTTGGTTAATACGCTAAGAGCATTTATGATAACGAGTTGATGTTACAAGATCCTGTATTAAAGTTACGGTTAGTGTTCAACTGCAGCAATTGAATCGGTTTCGACTTTACACCGTAGTTCTCTCGAATCGCCAAAAAATATGATTCTTCTTACCGTGAGAAGCTCAGAGTAGCTCTTTTTTTAAATGAATTAGTGAGATCCGGGAAAGAGTTTGAAAGAAAAGATTCTTTAACGATCAAAGTCTGATCACTTTTTTTGGAATGCTCATTGTGTATTATTAAAAACTCCACTTTTTAGAATATACGAGCCACCAAAATATGAAAGTACAGAGCTGGCCATAAAGTACAACTTTGTGGGTCCTTTCACTTTAACAGACCCTTTTAAAGTTCTCTCCAATCTATCACTTATAAACATTCAGCGCCGATCCGGAATACGCTCATTAACAGCAGTTTTTTCATGCTTTCGTGTTCTTGCTGCTGTTGAAGAGGTACAGTTTCACCTGCAGCTTTAGTTTTGAAGAGTTTCAGTTTGAATTTATAGGTCGCAGATACTATGCTTCTCTTTGGGCAAATCAACGCTATCAGCCATCATGAAATCGTTTCTGACATGCTCCACGCTTCTTTCATGATTTTGGTGATTCTACCTATAAGCTGATTTTTTATGTCCACTAAAAGTAATAACTGTCTGCAGCTAGAGGAACAAGAAACGCGTGACAATTGCAAGTCTTCTATTGAAATGTTCTTCTATGTGAAAATGCCACGAGTTTGGGCTGCAATGATTAAGCAAGGAATGAAGCCAGAAAGTGTAGTACGAGGCGTACAACATATGGTGTCAGAGTGTCGACAGGTGAGTTTTTGGAGGATTTTG